TGGGAAAATTCTACTACCAGTCCTTCATCACCTTACACGAAATAGGGTGAATACATCTCATTACAAGATTAGATACTTCACGAAATAGAGCAAAAATATACTAAATCAAGAGCACTTTTTCTCTACGAATACTACGATACCGGCGAAACGTCTGGGAATATATCGAGTCCACGATCTAACAGTGAGAATTAAGATAACTACTATATCAGAGAACTTCGAATAATGTGAGTCTAACTAGGTCGCCTTGACAACACGTCTAAGTTGTACACACGAGGTTAGGCAACTCAGCCTGCAACCAACAATATCTTGGTCTTTCTTTCTACTATTAACATTTACAACAGATTAAGACCGCATGGCGATAGGTCGAACACAAATCCTCTGACTTATATTAGTTAATGTATTCCGCGAGGTTGCATTCACTACTTTATACCAAGAAATGATCATAAGTATGGTATGCTTGCTACGAAACGCAAAATAAAAGAGCCTAGTAAAGTTGATAGATTAGAGAATACATTGAATGTGAGGAATGGTGATATAAATTTTTCGTATATAAGCAGAGTTTCTAGACTACCAGTACATTTAATACGATGATAAAAAGTAGAGTAAGAATCACTAATGCTTAAAGGAGAGAGAGTGTTTTGAGTCGTCGTCCAAAAGAAGGCGACATAACTTATAAGCTGAGTGATGGTTCTAACTAAATTCACACTAGTTCAACAGGCATGATGGTCTGATCAACCAAAACAGGCGTACGAGATTACGCAACTCCAATCATGTTTTTCCTTGGGTCAGTAAACCTTAACGACCCTAGACCCAAGGGTCTACATCTCATAGATTCGACAAGGGTTACTCGGTTATACTATCATCGAGCCATTAGGCCTTGATGATCCAGAGCTGACGTTAGGTTTTTGTAATTATATGAGATGCCCATAGATAGTATATTATTGTGTATTACATAGTATATTACAGAGTATATTTTACTGGTAGTCTCGAAAGCCAACTCATAAACGAGATTTTTTAATGGCCACTCTGAATTATGGCCGAAGCTGCGAACAGGCGTTAATACACGCACATTCAGTCTTCTTGACTTGGTGCTTAAGTGAGACTTTTGCAAGAATGAGCCGCGGATCCGAGAATGTTGGTGATATGAGGAAACAAAGCTGAGCCCGTCTACACCCGAATATAGGAAGGGTGTCTCGCGGACTGCGATAACCTCGACGTTGTGTTAAAGCCAAACGGATGCAGCACACTTTCATACGAAACAAAAGTCTCCACAGCAATTCGCTCACTCGGTCACAAATGACAGAAAATAAAACAGTAGTCATTTGACCTTGTCCTCTCAACTTAGTCATATTGACAGAAAGACCCGCAGGAACGCACCTAGTTCGGAGTATGCATGATAATTTCCAGAGTCGGACCGTGGACTTGGTGCGTTCCCAGAATAACATAGTTCTTAAGAAATAGGAGGATGTAATCAGTATTACCTCGACTCGAGTCATTTTGTTCTTCCAATCGCTCGGTTCGAACACCACTGGGCCAGTCAGCTTCACGCTTTTCCTGCTTCTCGAGTCCCCTTCAGTACTCGACTTTCCAACGCCAACATTTTCACTTTCCATCCTTTCCATGGCTCCTGCATAGTCTCGGCTCTCTCTTTGCTCGCCTTCGCCGTCACAAGACGATCCAGCCGGGCCTCGACGTTCGATCTCCAAATCTTCCGCTATCTGGTCAAGTCGACGTGTCAGTTCGCGAAGAATGGCACCAAGTGCTTCGGCTTGTCCGATAAAGTCCCGCCATCGACGACCCTCATGGGTCAACTTCTCTGCACTAGTTTTGGCCTGATTTATCGCCTCGGCCAGTCGAACTTGCAACGCCTCGAGACGAATCTGGACTTTCGAGTCACCATTGGCGGCAGCCCGCGTCGACAGGCTGGAGAGTCGACGAGCTCCACGAGTCTCCAGCTCTATGATTAATTGCTGCAAGCGGTAGACTGCGGTTTGTGGCTCGATTGCTCTCTGGGAGATGCTGGTTCCGGCCAGTTCAGTCGCTGGATCGGTGCTGATGCTTCCGCTAGTGTTGCTAGGTCTACCGGTTTTGGCCGCCAGCAAGCCAAGTACGTTGCTACCGGAACTCAAACAGAGGCCGGCCAACGACTGTGACTCGGAGCTGGCGACCGTATCGTCAGCCAAATCACCTCCACTGCCACTCTCAATGCCGAGGATTGTTGTTGTCATGAGAGGTACAGGCGAAGCCGTGGTCACGGCAGTAACAGAAGTCAGTTTGGCCTCCATCTCGGCCAACCAATCCTCTCCAGCCTCCAGATTCTCGTCGATGTCTGTCAGCTCTGTTAGACATTTATCAAGCTGCAAATTAGTACAGTATGTGAGAACAAGAGAAAAGAGAGAGAGATTGAGAGGAAGGGTACATGGATAAAGTGAAATGCACACTAGGAAAGATGGCTTCTGTATGAGATCGGGTAGCACTAGTTGTGCAAATAAGGATCTACGTTTGCAATGTAAACGACAATCAGGGCCCATCATGCATGTTAAAGGGCTTTTAGGTGTATTCATTTGAAGTGCAATGGGGATAGGCTAAACAATCTTACCTGGGCAAGGGGAGAAAATGAAGCGAATTGTTTGTAGGCGTCAAAGAGTAAACTGAACTGGAAAGTGCAGAATAAATTATAAATGCTCTGTCCGCCCAAGCAACAGGAGTATAGCAGTTTGGGGACAAGGAGATACCTACGGGAGATGAGGTTGCGCCTTCCCCAGACTGCTTGGACAAACAGCCAAATGTGGCATAATTGAATGCAAATATTTTTACAATCTTCCCGAACTATGTGCTGAAGAGTCGGTTTATTTTCATCGTTTATCTTAATCCACTTCTGGATGGACTTTAGCTGAACAAACCGGCAAAAGAGTACGATAGGTGGGATATTGTTTTCTCTAGCCAGACATATTGGTTTGTCGAAATACCCCAATTTCGTGCACGATGTTATATGGACTTGAAGCCATTATTTTCATTGATGAGAAGACCTGCTCGCACATGACTGCATCATACATTCCAAAATGACGTAATTATCCAGGCTGAACGTCAGCCACAACCTGGATCCAGCGGGGTTCGAACCAGAGATGCGCTAGTTCAAAGGAAAACAAGTTGCTACACAGGCAAAACAGTCATAGTCTCATTTGGATAAACAGCTAGAACGACCCCTAAGGCAAAGCCGGCCTCTTTCATCAGCGAGTTTATCATTAACTCCTGGCCAAATCGTTGATCTTGCAGAAAGT